GCTGGCATCTTGGTCTGCTAGGCATTATGATTCTAAAGATGCCAGCCACAGTTGCTGGCAAAACATCAGGAAATCATTGTCTAGAACACGGTCACTAAACCTTAAACACTGCCCAACAGATACTGGCTGTGAAAGCCTACACCAGCATATATCTTCCTTAAAGCTGAAGTATAATTCTCAGCAGACAGCCAACCTGGCAATGTTATTCTACAGTTTTTGTAACCTGCCCCAACCCACAGACTCTGGCTGAAGTACATCACAACAGACTAATAATAATTAGTATAGTTTAAGAAAGAGCAACAACAACACAAAGACTAAAGCCACATTTGGGAGGACCTCTCCCCTAGCCCCCAAACCACAATGAGTGTTGAAAAACAATAGCTCAAGTTGAAAGATAACTAATTTCTGCAGGTCATTTAATAAATGGTCAGGCTGAAATATTAAAGTTTTATTTAACTAGTTAACTTCCTCCAAATAAACCTTTTTTACAGAAATATATATAACCTGCAACAAATCCAACTTCATGGTACAAAAGTAGTTATTGCTCATTGCCAGGTGAAAGTTCCTCTAATATTTCTTTCTCCCCATTCAATCATATTTTGTCCTCCTAAGTTTTTTCTTTATTAACTTAAATTGTTGCTCCAATATATTTCATTTGCAAACATCTTTATGCTGAAGTACTCATTCAATTCATCCCCATGACATCTAGAAACTTTGGGTATAGAAAGTGAACAAGATGCTATTATCAATTAAATTCCGGCTGAAGTTAATAGTACATGATTACAAGGATTCTTCTTTCTTTGTCAAATATAGTCACCAGAGGGACCTAAATGAAAATAAAATAATAATTATCTTGATTAAAGCACAGATATTTTGGACAAAGGTATGCAAGACAGTAATTTAATTTATTTTAGATTTGCTGCTTTCTGCCTAATCTGGCTTCAAAGAAAAGGAGGAGAAGGACACCACTATAACAAGATTCCCATTGAGAGGTTTCTGTCTGTGGTCTTGCTGGGTTCATCCTTGGTGACCATGGTTGGTTTTTCATTTCTGCTAATATTGTTTCTTATTGTTTTAATGTGTTAGCCTCCCAGAGTTGTATTTGTGAGATGGGTGGCCGTATACATTAAATAAATAAACAAGCAATCCAGGAGCTTTACGAAGAGATGCTGGATCTCACTATTGTTGTCTTTGTTTTCTAACAATACTAAATTTAAGCCTGTATGATGTTTGTTTGTACAATTATTCTTCAAAGGTCTTCATCTGCTTCAATTAATAACTAAAATATTGGTTACTTTCTCAGACCACATTATCATATTACATAATGAGGTATATGATTTGCAAAACGTATTGTTCCTAGAAAAGAATGATCCAAGGAACTCCAGAAGGTCCATTCTTCCTCCAGACCATGATGATCTGGATGTTTGGGGACTGGGCCTGCCATTTTCTGGAACATAATTTTATGAACTGGAAGCAGTGGGGTGCATTCCCCTTTCTTCCAGAATGCCGGTTCAGAGATTATGTTCCCCATAGCAATACTGGAGTTCCAGAAGATCCCCTTTGGAGAGAGTCCATTCTTGCCTGACATCTTTGCCCACATTTCTTTTTCACTGTCTCTTCTGTGACACCATATGTACTACCCTTTTAATACCCCTCATGAATAGAATTAATTTCACTTTGAGATAAATGTGAGAAATAGAGTTGCTAAGTTTTTATTGGCTGCTTTATCAGTCAGAAAGAAAATACTGGTTTTACATTGACACCATTGATATTTTTACTCCCTAGTTCTCTCCCCCCCCTTTAGATTTTTATTTTTATTTCATCTTTACTTGTATTATATTTGTACTTTATTGTATTTTATTTCCCTTTAATTGTATTTTTGGACTTGCTGGTCACTGACTGTATTTACTATAAATAAAGGGGAAAAAAAACTTCTGGATAACCACCCAATCACCTCAGAACAGCCAGATCTGCATGTTCCAAAAAAACAACAGAATATTCTTGAGTTCCTCAGAATGTTTCATTCCTAGAGCAGTTGGTTTTACACATATCACCAGGATTTATTTGTGAAACACTTTGGAAATAACATTGCTTGCATTTGCTCAGCGCTTGACACCTTTTATTCAAAGTCTAGTAAGAGAATTAGAAGTATGTCCTGCTTAATGGTTGCAGAAATAAAGGACAGATAGAAATAGGCCAGCCTGCCCCAAAAATAGGGAGTGGGGCTTAACAAATATAATAAGTTACATATGTAAGTAAATAAATAAAGGGAGGAGAAGCAGTTGGCTATGCAAGGTGGAAAGAAACGCAAAATGCAAGAGCATTTGAACACTGTTCTTTAACATACACACATACACCCCCACAAAGCTTGTTCTTGAATTACAGAAGTTGTATTTTTTTCCATCATGGCTTCCTAACTTTCTTCAACAAATATTACTTGTTACAAGTTCTTGGATTTCTTGTAGTGCATCCAGCTCTACCTGTTAGCTGAAGGCTGGCTTCATTCTACAATCTGAGTCAGCAAGGTAAGAAATATGTTCCCACCCATCTAAGGAACTAAGGAATCGGGGCCTGGAAATGCCCTTTTTCTGTTGCTGATCCCTGAGATCAGGATGGCCCTCTCCCTGTTCATACTTAGAAGAGAACTTAAAATCATATGCTTCTGCCAAGCATTTGGATCTTAACATATGGGAGCTGTGGTTACTATTTTCTTCCAGCTGGGTTTATTTAATTCTTCAATTACAATTCTGTGATTTGTATTAATTGTGGTAAAGAACTGCCACTGGTGCGGTACAGAAGCAATGTCAAATAAATAAAAATAAATGCATCCAGTGAGGGACACCATTAATTCTCTAGCCATAGAGTTAAGGCCCATATTTAATTTTTCACCATAGTTCTAGCTCTTTGCTTTAAAAAGTAAAACCCTATTGTAGCACTGACATTCTTTGTAAAGTACTCACGCAAAGAACATCCAGTTCAAATAAGAGCAGCTGGCTTCGTATCCTAGAACAAGAGTTCAACAAGTGAGGCTCCGTGGCCACACGCTGCCTGCCAGCATCCTTCCAGGCTGGGTGGAGCCAAAAACCTGACACCCTTTCTTCCCGTTTGGAGGGCTTGCAGGGCTCTCAGGGCAAAATGGGTGCCGTAACTTTGCAGATACTTTCAAGAGCACATTTGATTCATGCAAACAATCTTGCCCAAATGGGATCGAGCCTTCAAAATACTAAACAGAGCCTGGCAGTGCCACTGGACTCAGAAATTGTGTTTTCCTGTCCTACAATATAAGCAGTTTTTTTTCCCCTGCTCACAGCTACTATGTAATTTTGAAATTTGCGATGCACCTCAGGGCTCGTGGTGCAATCATGCCCACTGGGAAAGAAATCCTAATTTTCTAACTTTCGTCTAATATTGCTGGAAACGAGAGGAAGCCAAAAGAATGGTGCAAACTGCAATCCCCTTCAGCGGAATGTTGCTTTAGGTGAAAGGCTTTGGGAGCCTTTCCCAACCTGATGTCTTCCAGATGTGTTGGATTATAATTCTCATAATTCCTGGCTACCATGGCCACCTGAAGAGGGATGCATCTAACTAGATGCTTTCTCCTAAACCAAGCAGATCTTACTTTAGCTTTCATTTTCTATCTATCCCATGTATTTTACCCGAGCAAGACCATCCATGTTTGCCTTGATTGTTCAGAATTTCAATGAAGCGCCAGGGCCATTTCATCCACTTTCATCTGGCAAGTCTTACCTAAGCCGGGCATCCTTAAAGGTGTCAAGGTAAGGAGGGTAGTTCCATTCAATCCTATTCCCTTTACACCGCAGCTCTACACTTTGACCTGCCAAAAGGCTTAAAGTAGCCATGGGCTTCTGGAAGTGGCCCTTCTCCATCACTCGTGTCATTATGGAGCTGGCCTTTGGGGAAGGGTCTGCGGAGTTTCTTTCTTTTAATTTGGGAGTTCTGGGTTTGACTTTTTTGTTAGAGGGCTTAATCCGGTTCTCTCCAGGTTCCTTCGGATGTTTGCTCTTTGCAGGTTGACCAACAGCTATTACAAGAAAAGGGGGGGGGGGGAAGAAAGAAAACACAGTGCCACGTGGGTAGGAACATTTCTGCTATTCTATTTTCTTATGGGTACAATTCTACTCCCCCCATAATTAATCTATATCTGATGTAAAGTTTGTATCCAATCTGGTTTTATATAGGTCAAAGCGGCATGCATCGTATTGTTAACAACAATTAATTCTGCCACATCAGCTAGGACATTCACCAACAAACAATTTTAAAGCTGAATTGATTTCAGTTAAACTCATGCATATGAACCATTACCTAAGGGGTGGATATGAACAATTAACAATTAACCCTACGAGGTAAACAGGAAAAATAACACAAAAATGTTTTTTCCCCCTTGAATATGAAATTATAGGGGAAAAACACTGAGATTATAGATATTTGGCTTAGAATGCTATATAACTAAACTTGCTTTGTGCATGTAAAACCTGAATAATCAGAATAATTTTACTTTGGCAGGAACCACCTATCAATGCTCAAGATCTCAAGAGATCACAGACATTTCCCACAGATTTCCTAAGATCTGCTATTTAACTCTTAGGAGCCTGTTTTTCATGCCCCAATTTCCTTGCATTCCTTCCATCACGTCTTCCTTCTGTGTTGCACCTGAAGAGTGGGGCTGTCTTGTTTGGGTTGATTTGTAAGCTGGAGGCCTTTCCAGCTGGACGGAGGGCTATAAAACTGTGTAAATAAACAACACTGAACACTGCCCTTCCAGAAAGCTAAGACACCCTTCCTTTTCCCCAAAAATGTTCCCATTATTGAAATAATTAAAAAAAGACAAAGTTTTTAAATCAATAAAAGGAAATCAATTTTTAAAGTGAGAGGTCCTACGCTGTACAGTCTGATTTTGACTAAATGAGAATGAAGTTTCCAAGTTCTTAAAATTCTTCAACGGGGCGTGGGTCGCGGTCATCCGACTCCATTACTTCTAGGCACCCTTGTGCGCGGGGCGACTTCGGAAGAATTTGGCGTCTCCTTCGAGCGCCGTTTCAAGAAGGGGGTCTCCGGCCCGGGCAGCGACGGCCGCCCTTTGCCCTCTCGGCACGGCAGAAATCACCCCTCCCCGGCCAAATTTATTCTCAAGTGTGAGGAAAGGTGGTGGGAAAGGGGGGGGGCGAGAGACTTTTTTAAATGATGCTGCGAGCGGGAAAGGAAGAACCGGGGTGCAGAGCGAAGGAGGAGAGGGAGGCAGGGAGGCGAGGCGAGGCGAGGCAAGCCCGCCGGCCGAGACACCGCTGGACTTACCACTCTGAAGCGTTTGCTGCAGCAGCAGGAGGCTGAGCAGGAACCACAGCTTCATGGCCGGAGGGAGGGAAGGAAGGAAGCAAGCAAGGGAGGAAGGAAAGCGTCCCGAAGCCTCTTCGCCGCCTTCTGGCGCGAGGGATGCGACGGGAACTCGCGCCTGGGTTGCGGCGGGGAGCGCGGGCGGGG